ATATAAAAACCTTGGACATTGAAAGAGCTTGTTCAAAAAGAGTCGATTGATTCTCTAAAATAATCAATATTTAAGTACATTAGGCAACAGCAGCTTCCCGGGTTCGATTCCGACCTTTGGCCCTTTGCTGCATGTATTCCCGCACTCACTCTGCCCCCTTTCACAGCTAGCTCTCTGTCTATCAAATATAAAGACCAACAAGCCCCAAAAATGTAAGTGCGTTATAATATAATACTTAATAATCTCGGTCCTCTCTAATTAATATCTCAGCGGCCTCTGAGCTCCAGCATCAAGAGCAGGAAGGTGGTCTCCATCTCGCCCACAGCAAAGGCGACGTTTCTGCCCCAACACTACGGCACCATGGGCAGCTTCGATACCCTCATGGCGGAGCTGACGCTGCACCACCCAAATGTCGGGAGGCCGAGGATTGTCGATGCTCTGGGAGAACTGAGGGCCAAGCACCAGGGGCTCCTCAGTGGCCTGCCCCTCAGGAGGATCAGGGAGATGATGTCGGAGCTTCTGACCAGGCCAGAGAACGTCCCGTAGTTATGAGGAAGCATGAGGAAGCAGAAGCAGGTTCCATGATTTTTCTTTGTTTAAAAAAGCATCTCAACCCCTCAGGGTTATTTTTACAACTCAAAAATCACAAGGAAAGGGGAAGTAATGAATCTGAAATCTCTGACATGTCAGCTGAAAAAGTTCTGTTTACCTAAGAAACTAGTTCTCAAATGTTAGTTTATTAGAGCGTCTGTGTTCAGGAAGCATCAGATTGTTTTTGATTGTTCTTCAGTGCTGAGTTCATGTAGCTACAAGTTCAAGTTTGAGGTTTTCACACAGTGCCTACATCTGTTTAAGATTCTGTCTCATTTGTTTGTAGAGATTTGTAAAATGGTTCATAAGGTTGCTCTCTGTGGTACATGCAGCGGTTTTGTTACGTTCCATCAATGAAAAGGATGCAAATAGAAAAAGTATTTTTGTTGTGATTCATCTATGTTTGATTTAGAGGAGACATTTCTGCTCATATCCAGGTCGTCCATTTTACTTTTAAATGTTTTCATGCTCTGTCCAGAAAACACTGTCCTCACTCTGTCCATTGCTGCAGCTCCTCTTTTCAGCCTCTGTCTTAGACACTTGGTTTGAGCTCCTGACTCTAATAAAGCGTATGTTTTCTTAATTTGCTCAGAATTCTTCTATTTGCATGTATTTTTCTATTTGCACGTGTTTTCTTTATTTGCATGTGTTTTCTTGATCCGCACAGGTTTTGTTGTTTTCTTCATTTGCAGTGCGTTGAGCTCTCTCGGCCACCGTACCTCTGCAGGGTGTCAGCCACAACATGGAGCCCACAGTTCTGCAGGCAGCGAAGGAGTTAATGTAATCTCTGGATGTGGAGGGGCGGAGATTGCAGCTGGGAGTCGAACTGGTCAAACGAGCAGAAATCCGTGTTAGAAAGTCGCTGCCGGAGTTCCTGTTTCTCTTGAGGCCCCTTCTGGAGTTCAGGTCTCCTCCGTGTTTGGAACAACATGAACCCGGCGGAGGAGAAGCCGTGGAGCCGTCGCCAGAGTCTCCGGGTGAAGTAGTGGAGACGTGGAAGTCTGCGGAGGATTTTTCCCGACAACACTTCACCGACAAACGGATGATTGCTCCGGTGTTCACTCTTCGTCATGAGCGCAGAGCCGTGGAGCTGCAGGAGGACCCGCACGCGCGTCACTGTCATGGTTTTCACGCATCGTCCAATCCAACGAGGGGTCTGATGGGAAAGTAATTAAAGCTCGTGTCAGGCAGAGATACACATCAGAGATTTCACCAACACGCCGAGTGGCACCATGCGCAGCAGCCCGGGGACGTGGATGTGGCGCGCGGCTCTGTGCTGCGCGCTCCTGCAGACCTTTACGCACACGGTCCGAGGTAAGAAGGACAGTGTCCTCTGTGAATGTGTCCTCGGCGTCTCCCCGCCTTGATACAGAACCCCCTTGTGAACCCGTGAGTGCAGCAGCAGCTGATCCGGAGCCACATGGAGGCGACGGGAGCCTCAGTGTTTGTTGATGTTTGCGGTGTCGACGGTTACACGTGTCACCGAGGTTCTGTGATTTCAGTTTGCGTCTGTGAATCTCTGTTTCCAGACAAGAACTCTGGAGAACGTCCGGAACAATTGTGTCCGGACATTTGTCTTCCACCTATGAAGCACCAGGAGATTGTCCGGGTCAGACTCGTTCCCAGCAACAGGAACATGTGGGGAACTATAGGAAATGTTAAAGAGTCCACTCGAGGCTTAAAGGTTCAGCGTGTGGAATTCAGTGACATCTAGTGGTGAAGTTGCATGTTGCTAATCATAAGAGAGAACCTGTGGCAGCTTCAGTTCTCATAAAAACTCAAAAGCTGTTTAGTTTGTCCAGTCTGGGCTTCTGTAAAAAAACATGTCTGCCTCCGTAGAGAGGACCCGCTCCTGATGCAAACATAAAGTTTTAATTATAACAGAGTGAAGAAAACAACATCTCATACAATTCAGATGAAACACAACGGTGAAAACATCACGAGGATCATTTTATGAAGTAAAAGTGCTAAAATATTTTTTTTTAAATTAGTTTAGAAGCACGACAGAAGATAAAATAAGAGACGGCTGTTTCTATTTGGGCAACAACTACCAGAAGGAAGTTTTTAAATTCACTGAACAGAGTGTGAAGCATTTTTAACAATTTGTTGCTTTCCTCCCGTGGTGAAGAACAGCTGTTTCTGTGGGTTTCTTACTGTCTGATTTTTATGTACTTACGTTTGCTAAAATGTCACTGAGCTGTCACCACAGACACCCGACAGACAACCGACCAGGAAATGCGTCACCTCTCACATGCTTTCTTTGTGTCAAAGTGTTGTTGTCGCATCAATGTTATATTTTCTGGCCTGTGTGTTTGTGTGTTTTTGTGCTTTTATATTGTGATATGTTGAAACACTAGAAACATTAATACAACACTAGAACAGCAGTCAGAGCACACTCCTCCACCGAGGCTCAACAATCCAACACCTGATTGTTCTTATAGTAGAAGTATGAAAGAAAAAAAACAATTCCTGGATCGACACCAACATTTGATGGGTTCTTCGTTTGCCCATATCCCGTCCTTCATAGTTTAAAGATAATTGGCGTAATCCTGATGACAACAGAATCTCGTTGGTGGAGGTAATGATGGACTAACCAACAAACTGTGGCTCAAACCAAGAAACAATAATGACTGTTGTGGATCAGATTCCATCACTGTGCACAGGTCCTTCCTCTCACACGCTCCTCTTTTGTCCCTCTCTTCCATCTCCACCTGTTTCTCAGGTCTCAACATGTGTATGAGTGGCAGTGCTACGTCCTGTGAAGAATGTCTCCTGATTCATCCCAGTTGCGCCTGGTGCGCACAAGAGGTACGACTCAGCCTCTGCATTATGTTCTGGATTTATTTACCGTGTGTGTGTGTTCAGCTCTCTTTGTGTTGGGAGTTCCAGCAGTTTTCACAGAGGTGGAATAGCAGCTCACGTTTGCTTATTTCTTTCTTTCAGGATTTTGGGAGGGGGCGGACTCTAACGTCACGGTGCGATTTCCGTCACAACTTGGAGAAGAGGGGCTGCGAGGCTCGGTCCATCGAGTTCCCCACCAGCAGCTTCTCAATCCTGCAGAACAGACCCCTGAGTTCTAAAGGCTCCGGGCCCACCCAGTTCGATGTCGTTCAGATTATGCCTCAGAAAATCTCCCTCAGCCTGCGGCCAGGTAAGAATCATAAATATGCAAAGTCAGAGAAAAGCCCTGCGCGAGGACGAGGGAAGTTAAAAAAAGTTTGATTATGAATAATTCACGTTTTTTATGAGTAAAGAAGCTGAGAGATTGTCTCCACCTGCACATCCAGGAGACCAGACGTGGTTTGGCCTGCAGGTGCGGCAGGTGGAGGACTACCCGGTGGACCTCTACTACCTCATGGACCTCTCTCTGTCCATGAAAGATGATCTGGTCACCATCCGCAATCTGGGCACCAAGCTGGCCCAGGAGATGGGAAAGCTCACCAGCAACTTCCGGCTGGGCTTTGGCTCCTTTGTGGATAAAAACATGTCCCCGTTTTCCTACACGGCGCCCAAGTATCAAGAGAATCCATGTAATGGGTGGGTAGTGGACGCAGGATTTACTGCTGGACATTATTGTTATTTACGTTCAGTTGTTGGTTGAAGCCAAGATCTGTTATTGCTCGGGAAATCTTGAAATAATCGTTTCCCTCTCACACCACACATTCTGTCGGATCATGTAACGTTCACGTCCTGCAGTTTGATAATAGAGGAGGTCAAACTGACAAGGAGCAGAATAGATGGAGGGTAAAAAGCTGTGGCACACGATCATTGCCCCGGAGGTGACACTGCACAGCTCTAGCTCGCTGCCATCGCGCATCACTTCCCATCTAGGTTATGGCCTCGGTTGTGTGCACGCATGTGTGTGTGTGTGTTTATCGTTCACACACAGTCGAGCACAGCAGGGAAATGATAAAGGGATAGATGTCGACATTTTGACCCCGAACCACTGACTCCTGCCTCTGCTCAACCTATTTATAAAAGAAGAAAACAACCGCGAGTTAAACCAGATCCCATCAATCTCATCAAAAATAATCCTGCTTGTTTTCACAAATTTAAATCAGCTTCACCACGTTTTCCTTTTTAAACAACCAGCCTCGATAAACACAGATGAAACTCACTGTGTCCTGATGTGACTCTCGGAGGAAACACCTCAGGGATCTCTGCCTCTCTGTCACCCCACACAGATACAAGCTCTTCCCCAACTGTGTCCCCACCTTCGGTTTCCGCCACATCCTCTCGCTGACGGACAAAGTGGACCGCTTTAACGAGGAGGTGCAGAAGCAGATGGTGTCTCGCAACCGGGACGCACCGGAGGGCGGATTTGACGCCATCCTGCAGGCTGCGGTTTGTAAGGTGACAAACTTCCCTTCATCCTCATTAGTTTGTATTTAGTGCCCTTTGGAGGTCGAACCATGACTCGGCTGCATTTAGTGACAGCACTTGTTTGGTTGTAGATGGCGGGGGGGGGAAGCCGCTGTGAAGTAACCGAGATGCTCCCGTGACAAGCCTCTGGCCTATTTTCTCGTTAATTAAAAGCACCATGGGGGACAGACAGGAAGTGCAGTCTGGTGCAGCTGGTTAAACATGAGGACGAGTCACTGGCAGGCTCAGTCATATCTCTGTTCTCCTCTCCCCAGTTTAATTGTTTTCTACAGGACGAGAATGACTCCCTGCGAGTAGCTGCTGCCTTGTAATTTACTCCGGCTGCACTATTTCAAACACTGGTTAGGAGACTGGGTGTGTCCACAGGCATGATTGATCCAGCTTCATTCGCTGGTGGTCAGACATTCGATGTTGTGAGGATTACTGAAGCATGAATGGGGAAAATAGAAGAGGACATGTCTGAGAATGGATTCTGGGAAAGCTGAACGTTTTTGGGCTTAAAAATACTGATTTCCACTTCCACGGTTTTCTTTTGGTTGTTTCGAACGTATGTTTCTCTCCAGTGAGACCACAGCTCTGTTTTCTACAGACCCAACCCAACGCTACCACACACTGAGGCCCTCTTCTCTTCTCACTGGTTGACATGTCTTGTTTCTTTAGTCAGCGCTCTGTCAGACGCTCGTTCTGCTGCTGCCTGTTGTTTCCTGTTGATAAAGAACCAACCTTGTCCTGCTGAACTGGCTTTAGTGACTCACTGTTGTTGTTGTGTGGTTGATTGGATCTGTGGCTTCTTAAAGTTGCAGTAAATCCATTGACTACAGTGTTTGTGTCCACTCACAGTGGCTTCGATAATGACCCTTCCAACCCACTCTTTGCTCTGATTGTGATAATAAAACCAGAGGAAGAGTCGCACAGTTACATTTCAACCCTCCAACAAACCTTTGGCTCCTAATCTGCTGCGCATCTTTAACAGGAGGAAATAGGTTGGAGGAAGGGGGCGTACCACCTGCTGGTGTTTGCCACAGACGACGTCCCTCACCTCGCTCTGGACGGGAGGCTCGGAGGCCTCGTCCAGCCTCACGATGGACGGTGCCACCTCAACGACAGGAACGAGTACAGCGCCTCCACAAAGATGGTAAGAAGAGCAGCTGATGGCGTTTGTCTCTCACAGAACACAGCATCTTAACAGCAGAGCCGACCTTCCTCTGCCCGCTCACTTCAGGCCTGGCGCCAGGAAGAAGTGACTGATGGGTCTGTTTAAAAAAAATTAGGGGGCAATCTTTTTCATAAAATGCTGCTGGGTGGCCTCACAGCAGGAAGGTTCTCGGTTTGAATCCTTCTTTGTCTTTCTGTATATAGTTATATTCACCTCGCTGGCAGCTCTAAGGTGTTCGCCCCCCTCTCGTCCATGTCAGCTGGGATTTGCTCCGAACAAAGCAGTATAGATAACGGATGGTTGGATGCGATACCTTTGAATAACAGCAAGATAAGGTTTGAGACATTAACTGTCAAAATCAGGGGACGTCGGTTTGGTCATTGGTCAATGTTCCCCGATTATCCCCGATTTTATAGCAGCACATGCACCCTGCAGCTTTAAGTCCATTGAGAAACCCGAGACCTTAATGCTGCTGTAATACAGAGCGTTGTTCAATAAATCTCAGGTATGTTTTCTTGACAAAATCCAGCTGTGAACGGACGTTGGAATCTCCACAGCTCACTCAAAGAATGACGAGAAGTTATGAGCCTGATTCCGTCTTTGAGAACAAGGCTGTTTTTTTATGCTCTTAACCTTTTAAGGATTTCTGGCTCCGCTTGGCTCGTGTCCACGTCTGCATTAGAGATTTCAGTTTGGTTTATGTCCGACATGTTCAGTAAATCTGCCTCATTCCAAAGAAAAAGCTTGAGTGAATGCAGCTGAAGTCAAATGGCAACTTACTCAGACGACCTGAGTGAGAACATGCGCTTATTGACAGCAGCAGCCTGTGGTGGTAATTGCGGAGGGAAGGGCCGGTGCACGCTGTCACAGCTGGAGGCTGCCGGCGAAACCACAGAATCCACCGTAGACTCTGGTGCGTACGCAGAAATGTTTCTCAACTGAACTCAAACTACTGACCTGACCTCGTGATACAGTTTTGATTTGAGTTCAAATGCCAATCATGAGCCGGTGGAATTTTTTCTTTTTAAATTAAAGTCAACTGAAGTCTTTCACTCATAATAATAAGTTCATTGTGCTTTTGAAAAGTAGATCAGTATCATGCGGTTTCTGCCGCGCCCCAATTTACTCAAGACTTTTTTCCGTTTGGTTTATTTTCCTCTTGAAATAACGAAAACACGCGAGTGATGGTATACATTACATTTCTTTGTCATAAGGGTTTGATATTGACATCTCAGGAATCATTGTCAGATTATTAAGTAAATTATGTTTGTGGGACGTAAATAAATAAAACAAAACACCAAATACAAACATATAGAACTGGAATTAAGAAATGAAACTTGTTGTTTATTCTGTAAAATGATATAAACACTGAAACTGGCTCATGTTGGTTTTAAATCGACCAAGTTGGTTATTAATTGACTCTGCTGCAGAATGCTCTTCTACTAAAACTCTCATTTTACTTGAACAACACAGATAAACCTCAGACACAGACTGTGTTGGATCCAATGAAAATAACCACGTCTCAAAGTCTCAGATTCTGAAGCTTTTCTCTTCAGCCTTTACTCCCAACACGCACATCTCAGAGGGACAAGAACATCAACATCCGTTTGCAAGCTTCCTGAGCGGAAGCTGCTGTATATACAGCAGTGCAGTATATATATGGCAGTATAGTGTGTAGCAGTGAAGTATATGTGTGGGTAAAATACCTCTAATGCCTCCTTCCATCTCCTCTCTGCAGGATTATCCCTCTCTGGCTCTTCTGGGAGAGAAACTGGCAGAAAATAACATCTTTCTCATCTTCGCAGTCACAAAGCGGCTCTACGTTATTTATAAGGTTTTTATCATTTATGGTTTTAAGACGCTTTACTCGTCCTGCTCCTTTTTATGCATGAGACTAACGCTGTCTCTTATTTACAAAGAACTTTACTGCACTCATCCCTGGAACCACCGTTGAAATCCTGGATCAGGACTCCAAGAACGTCATTCAGCTGATCATCGCAGCCTACAATGTGAGTAAACGGCAGGATTTTCTGTTTGAGTGCTGTCAGAGAACCAAGAGAACGACAGAGAGGACAGATAAGAAGAAGAAGATGGGGAGGAGGAAAACAGAGAGAAGTTCTTTTAAAGTCTGTTAATGAGCCTCCAGCTGACACGGTCGGCTACGCACAAGCTGGATTTCTCATTCTGTATTGAGGCTGGAGTGTGGAAGTGATTTCAACAGCTGACTCTGTGGTGATGTTTTCCATATTTCTCATCGCCGACGTCAGTTAATCCGTTAGTCGATTGACAGGAATGCAGTAAATAATTTCGATAATTGGGGGAAAAAAACATCCACATGTTTTGTGTCCGCTCCTCGAACGTGAGGGTTTGTTGTGAGCTCACTCTATTAGCCTGGTGATTAAAAACCTTTTAAAGATGTTTTCACCATTTGTACAGAACATTGTCCCAAATGAAGCAGCCGCGATAACCGAGGACTTTAACAGCGGCTCAGAAAGATCAATCTGAGGGGTTGAAAACTGATTAACAGGAGGAAATACACTTTAACACGATAGATTAGTCAGAATATAGTCAGGACGTATTTACCACCTGAATTTAAATGCAGCTCATTAAAAGTTGTTCAGAGGTTTAAATCATAGTGTTCGTGATAGACTCACATTCTCTCTAAGTCGAGCTTCAGGGTCTTGGCAAACGAGAAAAATGCAGCAAAAGAAGGTAAAAGATGAAATAATTACAGACATTAAAAGAATCATGAGACAGAGTCAGGCTGAATTAAAAGCAAGATTATAAATGTTTGAGTTTAAATTGAATTTAAATGAATTTCTGTTCTCTCCTGTGGCGATTAAAGGGTTTTCATATGACAGTTCTGCAAAAGTTAAAAAGTTCCCTTACTCATCTTGTTTAATAAAATACATTGCAAAATGTTTTGACATTGTTCCCTGAGTGAAACCAGACATTTACTAAAAGTCCTGGAAGTCTCTGACTAATCAGAGCAGACTGGGTTTAATCAGGAGCTTTAAAGAGACAGAGGCTGAACAGAGGAGCTGCAGCAACGGACATTATGAGGAAAGTGATGTTGTTTCAAGAGGTCAACGATGTAATGAGGAGCAGAACATTCGAGAGCTTTGTCAACAAACTAATATTTTAGAATCAACTAATTTGGGTTTTCCAGAACAGGAGTGATATGTGCAGTGTTTTCAAACGCTCTGACATTCATCTCATCGCTTGTTGGAGAAAGTAAATTTGTTTTTCTTTTGCAGCCGCTCACTTTCCATGAAATGTTTTCCTCCGTGGGCGTTCAGATCCCCCCCCCCCCCCCCCCCCCCCCCCCCCCCC